GATGCTTCCTCGTAGGACACAACTCGTGCTCGCTCGGGGGGACTGGATATGGTTCTGGAGGCTTGGGACTCGTTGTTAGATCCCTTTGCTGAGCGTCCAGTCCTCGAGAGTTGTGTTACTATCTTGGGGAAGAGGATTCGCCAGACTTGGCGAGTACTCGGTAAACAAGCAACAAAGATGCCCACACACAGCTCGATGTGTGACCAAAGCGAACTTTGGAAGGAGTCGACTGCGTTATATTAGTGCAATTCTCATATTGGGGGCATTTGAGGCTGACCTGTGACGTTGTAGGACGTCGAAAAGATCAACAATGCTTTGATCCTATACGCACTGACTGCGGTGAGGCTATCTATGGTCAGCACCAAGATCAATTGTGCCCAGATTAGATCAACTCACAATACCCCAACGCCGAACATAAGCATCACTCCAAGTTTTCGCATGAGCGGCATTCTCAGATCATAGACCTGGGTTGCAGGGAGTACGAGCATCCAGACGTCCAAGGCAACATTAAGAGCGCCGTGGCACATGGCAAAGGCGTTCAGGTTGATGCACTGGCCCTTCATCTCCCCAGTCCATCCGTCCCAAAAGTAGTGAATGGGTTGGCACGACCCAACAGTACCTCCAACGAACGCGATTAGGAGGAGCAAGTTGAACACTTGCGTGCACCAGAGTACTCGTCGGAACTTTTCGTCGGGGAAGATTCGTAGATAGAGAAAGAGAATCGATGCCTTGACGAAGGCAAGAGCAGTCAGATAGAGCATCCCAAAGACATAGAAGAGCTGGGAAGTGTCAGTTATCATCCTCGAAATGTGCAGGTTCTTCATTAATGAACTAACCACCAGGAAATATGTGATTTGCTCAGGTTTAAGACTCCATATATCCCGTCCAGCGCCTGTCTCCTCAGCTAGGAAATGTCAGTGAAAGTGAACAACAGAACGAAGAGTTTGGATTCCTTACCAAGATAGGCTGCTGGTAAGAAGGCTGCAAGAACACCCTAGGTGAATGTCAGAGAGCGTCATTATCGTAGCAGGCAGCATCATCATACATATGCGACAAGACAGGTCGTGTCATCCCAGCCCCAAGGCGATAGCTTCATGTACTTATTCGTTATCCGTACGATGATGAAGAACGTTGGAAGGCCGAATAGAAGAGCCCTGAACCACTGCATAACAGTGTCTTGTTGAGCTGGAGGCACACCGCAGGCCGTGAGCGACTGGTTCTGGGCGACTGCCAAACGGTCAATATGCTACCTTTACTAGATCATCACGAGGCTGAAGTTCTTACCCAGCATCTCCTTGACTGTGCAATTTGCCATGACGCAAGTCTGCACGTACCCAGCGAGAACCTTGTCGTTACACATGCATGTCTGATTCGTAAGGGCACATGTCGAGTGCCCTGCCCCGATCTCTTGAAGAATGCAGGATATCTAGATCCCGTCAGCAACCGCGAACCAAGAATCCCCATCGACCAGACTTACCGCACATGGAGGGATTCCGTTGTATGATAGGTCGGCAGCAGCGACATAGCTACTCAGGCCGAGGAAACAGGCCAGCAGGACGATAAACCGAAAGGCGGCCATGTTGTGTTCGTATCCCCTTCCTCAACCCCCACAATACCGGTCGTCGTCGTTGTCGTCGAGAGCGTTTGTCGATGGAAAACTCTGTCCGCAAGGGTTCGAAAAGCAGGAACCAACGTCAAGGTAAACCTCGGGAAGCAGTCTTGGCCATGGTGCCAACAAGACCTACAGATATTGGAGGAAAGGGAAGAAGGCAAGGACCAGCATTTAGCGGGACAATCTTTCCCCAGAAAGCACGTACTGACGGCTGTCAATTTGCCCAGCTAACTTAGCGGACTAGCCTAGGCCCTGGATCCAAAAGCTGTGCACTGGTTTGTGGCTTTTTTACTTCAGTCCCCCCTCTTCTCTTTCTCAAGGACACACAACACTGCATTTCACCGGCCGCTGTAGCCGGGCGGACCGGACACGCGAGCGCTCAATGATCGCCTCCGCGGTATTTGGCCCGGCTTGCCTGAGTTCCTTTGCGTTTGCGGAGGGGGTGTTGGCTAATTTCACACTTTACCCTTTCATGTCGGACCAGTTCCTTCCTCACTGGTCGCTCCCCCTGCCCTCGCGTAGCCGAAGGACGCCGCGGCTGAGACCATCAAGAAGTCTACAAGGTACAAGTGCTTTTCGCCAGCCGAGATGGGAAGATGGCGTCTGATGTGTGGCCCCATAACAAGCCAGTACTCAAGCTAAAGCAGAAGCTTTGGCACTCGGGATCCCACATTGGCGTGGCGAGCATGGAGCTAAAGTGAGACTAGCTGCGGGCTGTGCGCGCCCAACGCAGGGGCATCGTGACGTTTGCGGAATGTTGAGAGTATCTTCTCAAGAGGAATGCCGTTCGCGGGCACCCAGGCGTCTTGGCATGTGAACGGAAGCATTAGACCTGTAGATGTCCAGGGTCGGTAATTTCTCAATGGAGCCTTTCTCGAGTTTTTTAGTGACCAATTATTGGAGTTTGAGAACAATGGAAAACCCGGCGAAGTCAGCCTTTTGCTGACAACCACTTCAGATGCCTCTCCATGATCTTCAGAGCTTGATCCAAACAGTGGAAGTTCGCCAGCGCGCCTCGTGGTTGCGGGGCGTCACCACGGAATGGCGAGCTAGGAGAAGAATGCAGGAGGGGTCCTGTCTCATTGTTGTTACCAGCTCTCTGGTCCTTGGCCTCCAGCCTCATTGAGGCGGACAAATTGGACCGCGAAGACTCCGACAGGAAACGAAGAACCGTTTGCCGGTGAACACTGGACTTTGGACGATGCAAGCCCAATAAGTGCCGTAGACACATGGCTTAGCTTGATGAAGACACCAAAGTAGTATGCTGTTTCGCCGTTTAAGGCTGGTCTTCCGAAAACTCGTTTAAGCGAGCTGTCGATGCGGTTCCAGATTCCTGGGTTCGTCCCATCCCAAGAGGATCAGGCGCTGACAAACTCTGAACAAGGTAGGACAAGCTTTTGAGAAGGCGGCGGCCGTGGCTCTTCAAGTCTGCGCAGCCACTGATTCATCAAAGAATGTCGATGGCCCCGCCTTGCGCTTCTCCACGCATCATAAGTACGCCATTTTGCCTCCGGTTCCTTTATCTTCGGTTGATCTGAGCGTCAACGTCTTCTGCCTCCCGAGAGACACATCGACAATGAGGCGGAGGATCCTGCCTCGATGCTAAATGTTGGCATTTCGCAAAAAGCATTGACAAAGAAAGTCGCTGGTGATCGAGAAGCGGCATTCCAGTCACAAGTCGTTGCTGCGTAATCATCCTCATTCCGTGTCTCGTAAGGTCCATCGAGGGCAGTTTCGCTTGTGGCTTGAGGCTGGGTGATACCGCCATGTCCGTTTCGATGTGCAGTCTCTTTCATCGGACGCCGCAGAAACTAAAGACCACCATGCGGCGAGAAGACTGCCCCGGAGCGGTTTCCTGAAGACGAGCTCCGGACAGAGTGGGTCACATTCTCGGTGCTGGCGGGGCCTCACGGTATCGGACTCCCGGGTCTCTGCTTGCGGCCGGAGCGATTGACCCAAAACAGGCACTGAGAAGAAGCACAGTCTTCAGAGATTCATCTATGCGACGTGTCAGTCAGTATGACGTTACCCGTTACCAGCAAAATCAAGATAGCTGTGAGATGCTGCAATCGAAATAAGAGACCAAGTCAAGTAAGTGTCTTCCTCACAACGTAAAAGTCACCCTGGTGAATCTATGGGCCGCGCAATCCAGAACATCAAAAAGTAAAGGAGAATGTTCCCAGGTGGAATTTAACCACTGAATCTCCCCGAGGTGGGCTCGAACCACCAACCTCCAGATTAACAGTCTGACGCGCTAGCCAATTGTGCCATCGGGGATGAGCTCGAATGAGCTGATTGGGATGTTGTTGACGACCCAGCTCGAGTTGGGGCTTAAGAAGGCCACGTGTGATGAAGACCGCTCGGTTGTGCGAGTTTCAAACCCTAGCTGGCGGAGTGGCAGGTTTTTGTGAAGCAGTGACAGTCGTGATTGGCAGTGCAGAGAAGAATTGACCCACGCTGATGTGTCATTGTGTGGCCCGGCCTCAGTCATTGTCTGTGCTGCATTGTGTTAGTTCGTGGGGACCTGGAGGCTTTCACGACTCGGTCTAGCTTCAAAGCAATGCAGGTCTCTTTTCTGTAGATAAATGTTGCCAAGCCGTCCGTCAGGAAGCAAACGTCAACCTGGAAAAGTCGCGGGAAACTCACAATTTCAGGAGAGAAAGGAATTGTTGAGCTGCTCATTCTCATTAGCCATGTCTCACTTCCCCTGAGCTCATGCTCACAGGCAGTAATTCTGCCCAAGTGGCGCCTGCTGAGACTGCTCCAGCTGACAGCCAGACTGCGAAAGTGGTGTTTACAGTCTACAAGCCCATTCCATGGCTGAACACTGGCAGATAACAATGGCCTGTTTCCTCGGATGCAAATCTTTCCTCGCCGTGCGCGACAAAGGCTGGCCGGCACTCAACGTGCAGCCGGCTCAGACACTAGGAACGGGCGGAAGAGATGGTCCACGGCAGACCGTGGTCCTTGGGCTCCTTCGCGCGTCTTCATCACCTCATCAATTGGACTCCCCCGCCGATAGTCTGAAGCTAAATGTAACACATCACGACGGCAAAGTATGATCCGCGGCTTGGCGGCCAACGAGGAGCGCTCCCTGCGCACGGAGGTCTGCAACGAGCCTGGCTTTCAGTCAAGCATGCACAGCAGCCCTAGGACGTGGATCAAAAGCCCCAAACATGGCTACAGTCACATGGCTACAGTCTGTGGTGAGGAAAACCATGCTAGTGACGACCATGAGACCTCAACTTTTGTAATTTGAAACCGTTTGTTGACGTTCAGCTTGGCGATGGGCTATCGATGGGCAATTGTTTCGAAGACGTACCGAGATCAGACATTGTCGACTCACTGCACTTGAATCCCATTCGGAGTATGGAGATGCTATATACACTCAAGCAATATGAAGACTCGTTTCAGGATCCGCTTGAACACGTCCTCTCCATATCGACACTGCAGTTGGCCCTCTCGCATCTCCCCAAAGGTTGTGGAACATGGACTCCTCGTAGTCAAGATAATCGTTTCCGTGCCATGATTCCCCGGTTTCTGCCGGGCCTCTAACCTTCACCGCACAAAATCTCAACAGCTCCTTGATGCGCCTGGTAAAGGAGTCTCTGCCAACCGTTCTCATTGGTGGAAGCTCGGCGGGCGGCACGCCGCGGTACCAGCTGGCCTTCTCCTGAGACGGCAAACTCAGCAAGAATCCTCCGTGGCGACGATGACATCCGGTCTTCTCAATCCACTCTAGAATTTCTGGTGCGGAGAACCGCGTCATTCCCAGAATGGTCAGGTTTTTAAGATTCTCGAAAAGCTCCAGGGCTCTCAAGACCCAAGCAGGCTGTTCTACTCCGCTTTGGACGAAGGAAAGGAATTCAAGATTAGGCTGACAGCATGCCAGTGTTTGAAGCTGTGTATAATAGAGCGAGAAAGATGTGTGGAGCCTCAAGTCGCGCAGGTCCTTCATGGAACATACTGCGTCCATGACTAGCTTGCGGCATCGGAGATCCCTAGGAGGAGGATCAGTCGACCTTTGCGCTATGAAGAGATATTTAAGATCTCTCTGTGTTTTAAGTGCATGGTAGAACTCGGAATGGTTGCCTGTGTCGTACACGTGTAGCCTCTCGAGTTGGAGATGAGGGAGGGCGTCCGCGATGGCAGGGATCAGGTCCGGCAGGCGGAAGAGGTGAAGGCGCTTCAGACTTCTGCAAGACGTGATCCAATTCGAAATATGCCTACGTTTCTCTCTGGCCCATAGCTCATACTTCTCTCGCAGCCGCGAGCTAGGCGTAAAGGAGTTGAACTTCAGAGTCAGCGATGTCAAGTTTGTGAGCGGACTCAGCAGAAGCAAATCGGTGGGCGGGATCTCGAATAGGCGGAACTCCAAACGCCGTAGTTCTGTCTGCTTAGCAATGGCTCTAAACACGGGGGCATGCACTGCCCCGACTCCGCACTCGAAGCAATCAAGCTGGTCTGTATTCAAGTGAGAGAGGAACTCGCCCAGCTGTTGTGAGCCCGCCGTGGTGTCCGCCGCAAATGGAAATTCCAGATGCTTTAGCCTCGGAAGACTCTTGCTGATTTGTTTTCCGGCTTCGGCGGTCAAGTCCTCGGTCCAAGTCATCGACAAACGCTCCAGCGCGTGACAGGAGAGGATGAAGGAGCCTCTGTCTTTCCAGCGATATATCGAGACTTCTCTCAGCATCGGGTGCCGACCGTTCTCGTTGCTGATTATGACCAGGTCCTCGAGAAATCGTGTTTCGAATTGCATTAGACCACGAGCGTGATATGACAGTGTTCTTTTCTCAGTCCATTGGGGGTTCTGATCCGCAAAATGTTCCAAAGACTTCAAATCTATTTCCCAATGGTAGAAGTGCCAAGCGTAATACAGATTGGAGCCGTCGTAACGTCGGACATATGTGAGATATGGGTGTGAAGTGAGAGGCGGCGTGTTCAGCGGGCTGTCGGTAAACGTCGATGAACGGTAAATAGTTTCCAACATTCCAGTTGAGTAAATGGTTTTGTCTGTCGGAGGAAGAAATGTCAAGCTAGGGTAATTCAGCAAGTGCTCATACATGGTGCTCATACATGGTTTCACGATAAGCTGCGTGCTAAGTAATTCCAGTTCGGTGAGAATCAACTTACTCGTAAAGTCGCTTGAGTGCCAACCACGCGTTGCCTTTACTTGTGAGGGCACAGTTTGCCAAGGTCCTGTGGTAGCCAAGAAAAGCAAGTTGGTCGAACAGAGCTTCCCAGATATCGATGTGCACCACCGCCTTTACCGGCGCATTCAATGTAGGTAAATTGGTCGTTAAAGACATTGCGGCTAGATGTCTCCCGGCTTTGCTGCAAAACAGCTGGTATATTGGAGTATCCAAATGATGCGGTTTTGGAGGCGATATTTGCGACATTTTGGCTATTGCAGACTTGAAATATGAATAAAAATCTTTGTCTCGTCGCCAGTGATGTGGTACTGTGCTCGTTAGCCTCCGTAATAGGTGAATTCATGACCTTCTGCAAGTGAATCCAGAACGGATAGGATGAAGAGTGGTGTTAGGATCGCGAAGGGTCAGGCAGTACAGGTCCGTAGAGCCGAGATACGCCTCTTTGATCTGAGTCGCAAACGACGTCGAGATCAACAGTCAAGTAGCGAAAGCACGCTTGAACTTACAATCAGTCTGGCCTACATCCGATTCCGGGTTGATGTATGGCTAATAGAATCTGTTTCGTCGTTCCTGCTACAAATTTGCTGACCAGGAAGATTAGATCCAGAGAAGGTAGGTTATTTGTTTGGAACACATTGGTCTACCCTTTTGGAGACCCTAATGTCTCTTTTTGCGAAAAGGAATTCTTGGAGAGCCGGAAGGGTGAAAGAGAAAAATCGTGACAGCGACCCTGATCACCAGAAACCTCTGAACCATCCAAGTGGCCTGCATCTCTCCATAGGAGTTTAAGGCACGCACCTCTATGGCTAACTGACGGTGCGAAAACTCATCGCAAAGCCTGCGCACAATGAGATAAGGGACGTAAGTTGGTGTAGTTTCACATATAAATGTAGATTGATTGCTTATACTTGAACTGCTGTGCCTCCAATTCATGAACTATTCCTGGCAGTAGCCAAAAAAGTTGCTTGGGTATCTTCAAAGCCAAGAATGTATGTCGCCGAACTTGAGCCATAGATCTCCAAGAAGACCTCACTCACGGAACAAAGACTAGAGAACTACAAGCAATCCAGATCCAGAAACCTCCCACCCCTCCAGTTCCCCCTCCCTCCAACCGGCACCCTCGACTCTCTCTCCACCGCCTCCAGCCGTCCAAGCACCTCCCCCATCTCCCCCTGCACCTCTCTCAACCTCTCCAACACCTTGCCGCCCTCGCCCTCGTCCTTGACCATACCCTCGCCAGAAAACGACGCGGCCAACTTCCGGCGGATCACATCCGCGTTGTCCACCTTCTGAAAGACGTTCACATCGAACCCGATCGCCCTGTACAACGGGCCCGCGAGCTTGCGGCCGTCGTCCACGATACATCCCCGCACGCCGACGTGCCCCTCGATCCGCTCGGTCGCATCCCTGGCGCTCTTGACCAGCGCCGCCAGCTTCTGGACGTGGGACTCGATGTCCGCGGCTGCGATGGTGTTGTTTTGTTGTTGTTGTGCCGGCTTGGGGGCTGGCGCGGAGCCGAAGTCGTGGCTGAGCTTGCACGCGTGGAACGTACGCGGCGAAGTGACGGTGCCCGAGAGGGTCTTGGTTGCGTAGACTCGAAAGCGGTTCATTTTGGGTTTTTTGTTGTAGTTGTGATTGTAGTTGTTATTGTGATTGTTGTTGTAGTTGTTGATGCAGTTGCTATTGTAGTGGTAGTTGTAGTTATTGATGTAGTTGTTGAGGACATAGACTTGCTTGGTAATTCGTGTTAATTAGAAGAGAAAGCGATAAGTCTTTCAGGACTTACTTACTGATGAATGGTGTTGTTTAACTCGGAAGAGATGATATGAAGGTTGGACGTCTTTACAGAAGATTCGTTGCTGAAATCCCCCTTTTATCATTTTTTGGGAGGATTTGGCAATCAAGGTTGATGAAGTAGGTCCCTTGAGGACATACATTAACTTTGACCAGGCTGAGGACACAATGCTGAACTCGGTGTCTCCGACATTCAAAAGGCAACAGAGACACATCTTTCTACTTGTGTGGTTGACTGCGAGACCTGTATGAGGTACTGACGGATCAACAGGAATTAGTAATTCAAGCTTCTGCTTCATTAAGCTATCAAGTCAAAGCTACAATGTGTGACAGAAGCTGAGACGGGAGCCCAGCGCTGAGGGGAGGGTCTTGCCAAAGGTGTAAGAAATGTTTGTGAATATTTAAAATCGCTGTCTCTTAACCCTTCCGATCCCAAAACCTAACAAAACCGTTCCTCCTCGCTGGGCAGCTGTGCCACTCCCACAGAAAAGCAAGACATGAGATGTCTGCTCGGGAACTGCCTATGACGCTTCCGCCCCCTCGTTTGTCTTCCTCGCCCCTGAATATCGTACATGTAGTTTGTCCAAGAAATGCGAGTGTCGGATCCCATTAGGTCTCGCCTCCGCAAACGTGTCGATCGCCTCCTGCACACCTAGTCCGCACCGCTCGACCAGGTAGCATACAATGAAGTAACCCGTGCGGTTAAACCCGTAATGGCAGTGAACGCCAATGACCTGGTTTTCTCCGTCGACCGCTTCCCATCCTTCCTCTTCAGCTCTCTTCTTCTGCTCTTCCCTCAGCTTGTCCACAAGCGCCACAAAATGCGCAACTTCTCCCTCACTGGGCGGAACCTTGGACACCGTGGCGAACTTGTGGTAGCGCACGCCGCCCTTCTCCATGCTTCTAGGATCGTAGACAGGCTGGTCGTGACTGATGTCAACAACGTCCTTGATAATCTTGCCCCAGTTCTTGACGAACTCGGCAGGGCAGTGTACATCGTCGGCTTCTCGCAAAGTCTTCATCGCCCGGAAGACGGCAGGCTTGCCCTTGGGCCCTATCGGGAGCGATACCGGTACGACATTCTTCCACTTGGCTAGGTTCTTCACGTCCCACTTGCCCTCACGCGAGAGGTGCTGCAGCTGCCATTTCAGGGAGAAGCGACCGGTGACGTGACAGGCTAGGAAGTCGGAAATGTGATGGGCGAGAACCCGAGCGGTCGAGGGCATGAACAGTACAGCGTGATTGGCAGGCGCCGGGATGATGATTGACTTGACCACCTTGGTGGGATGTCGAGGCTGAGGCGGAAGGTTTGCAGGAGATGATTCATCTGGCGTAGAGGGGTCCTCAGTCGTGTCTGCACCTTCATCCAGTCGTCTGTCTCGCTGGAAGTCCTCATCTCGGATGTCGTCGATGCTCTCAGGCACATGATCGGTGACGTTTTGGGAGGTGTTGACTGGCGCAGCAGAGTCGACGACGGTCTCATGGCCATCTTCCGAACCCGTCTCTGGTGACAGCGGTGCCTTGGTTTGAAGATACTCCTCGATCTTGCCGACTTCGCCAGGAGGGGTTAGTTTGTCTGCCTCCCCGCCAACAAGGTATACGGGTACGTCAACGCCGGCCCATACGTCCTTTCCGGGCACACCACCCCTGGCAACGCCATTCTTGAACGTGGGTAAAGACCCCCAAGCCATACGGCGCCATACCGGTGTGCGACTCTGGTTGTTAAACCGGTCTTGCAGCTTGCGCAGCTCGAGGTCTGCTCCCGGTCCGACAAACCGGCTCACGCTGGCACTCTGCGGTCCTCCCCATCGGTCATAGGCCCTCCACAGATCGAAAAGCCAGCCGGGAACCCACAAAAGTTTGCGGAACAGCGCCGTCTTGTCAGCTGGTGGAGGTCCAGAGACGGGGCAAATCGCTACGAGTCCCACGATGTGTGTTCTTAAATCTGTTCGGTGCGTAGTGTTGCGGCTAGCCAGTTGTGCACACATCGTCGTGCCCATGCTATGGCCGATGAGAACCACGTTGCGGTCAGGCTCCTTCTGGCGGTACTCGTCGATGATGACTTCCAGCAGCTCAGCCAGTGCTTCCGGACTGTAGGCATCCCATGACGTCTGTGCAAACTTGGATCGCCCACATCCGGGCAGGTCGATGGCCAGACATGATGAGATGTGGACAAGGCTGGTCAGCAGCGGGTGAAATTGTGCCACTGAGCCTCCCAACCCGTGAATGAAGACGAGCAAGGGGATGGATGGCTTGGGCAGCTGGTCTGCCTGTTGATGCCGTTTGTAGAATATGCGGATATCAGCATAAGTGTAGCGATCTGTTTTGAACGTGCGTATCTCTGAATTCTGTTTTAACAACTCCGGGTCCGTGGACTCGGGGTCGTGGGGGTTGGACCACCACCCGCCGCGGGCCTGTTGTTGGTCTCCCATGTTGACCGAGGGTATGTGGGTTGTCGTTCCGGAATCTAGACGCGTCTTGGCCACCGGCACCGAAAGGGTTGCAAATACAACGGTAAGAAGAGGAATAATAAACCTGGTCTGACAAGACAGAAGCCGGAATAAAGCGCGGGTATCTCCAAAATGTAGTGCGCTGCAAGGAAAAAATGGCGATCTTTGTGTGTGTCGTTCCGGGAGGGTATGACAGCCCGACGATCTCTCAACCGTTCGCTACTTGGGGGGAGGGAGGTAAACAAAATGGAGTGAGTGTGGGCGAGATAGACCGAGATAACGATGAGATCTGGTCACACGGAATGTGACTCAAAATCGGGTAGCCGCTGTGAAGTAAGGACCCAGTTCCAGTTTCCTCTTCCGCGGGTATTCCACCGTCGCACCTGCTGTGTGCAACTGGGCGCGAGGCCCAGAGCACTGCAGGGAGGAAAGAGCAGAGGCGGCTTCCTTTTAATCAGACCGCAGGTGAGGTGGGCAAGGTAGCGTCGAGATCTGAGGGGATCGACTGAGACGGAGGCAGGCCAGAACGTGGTCGGGGCAGGCCGTTTCTAAGGCAGGAGATGCGCCACCAGCTGCTCCGTACAAATACCGCTGCGATGGGAAGAAACTGGGGAAAGTGAGAGATAAGATGCTTCTAGGTAGGCAAGAAAAGCGAGCCTCACAGAAGGCACCACTCAGGCGGGCAGCGGGCAGCGAGAGATACTTTCAGTGGGGAGCAAGGCACCAAACTTTTGTCTTTGGGCAATTTATGTCATTGCCCATTCTCAGCCAACAGTTCGTCATGTCTCCTCCACCTGGGCCCGGGGAAACGCTGCCATTGGTTTCCTTGTCTCTGGAATTTTTGGCCAATTGGAGCTTCGCTGCGAATCAGCGCCCGCGCTGGGACCTGGCAAGGCTGATTACGTACGCGATCGAGAAGAAGCTGGGAAAATTGTACATGAGAATTATGTAAATTGTGGTTTTAATATTACACTTTGGTCTATGATATGAGCCATTGCAGAGTCTCTGCGTCTTGTGATCTCTTGCCAGTGGTGGCTGGCTTTGTGCAAGAAGACAGGTGGTGGTACAGCGTTCAGCGAGAACCTTGAGAGTGATCTCGCCAGGAATTTGCATGGCGGGGTAGCGAGGAGCAGTGAGGTTTGTGGACGTGGCCGGCCCCGGGTATCCCACATCATTCAGGAAGCTAGATCTCGATGCTCTATGCAGTCCCCATCTGATGGAGGATCATCGTGAGTCTGCCGTCTTGAATGCTTCTCTCCGTCCACGTGTGCACTCTGGCGAGGAGCCTATCCTCAACCCGAGTCAGGGCGGTCCATATGGTCTCCCCATCGTGAGCACGTCACGCAGCGCCCTTGCCCTCGACCCATCCAATGGGAATCAAGGCACCCGCAACTTCATCGACGCCCCTCTCCGTAGCAAGCAGGTTGAACTGCGATGCCGCATTTCCCGTGTCAAGCACGTCCACGCGGATTCCGAGCGAGCTGAGGTGCTTTTTCGTGGACGGAGCGAGCGGAACGATCTTGGGGCCGACGCCGAGGATGAGAAGATCTGCAAAGAGCCACGTCAGTATAGTGTCCGATTATTGAGGACAGAACGAGGACGAACCAGGTCGAGGCCAAACCAGCTCCAGCACGCCAAACGCCTCTGGGGGAATCTCAAATTGGCCCTTGGCGTTGATCAAGTTCATCGTGCCCTTGGCCTCCCACGGCCGCCACTCGAATGCCTCGCCGCCGATAAGCAGGGCAGCGTTTCCATCCAGAATCTTGAGGCCACTGTTCAGGGAGAAGCCGTCCGACATGCAGACGTCAATTGACGTCGATGGAGTCGGCGTGTTGCCCAAGACGTCGAGCTCGCTGAAGTCGGTGCCACCTTCATATTCGTTCGTGCTGTTCTTCTTTAACCTTGACGGCGCCGTGTGGAATTGACTGCGTAGGCATGCGATTTGCGAAGGAGCTGCTGAGGCTCGTAAAGGCGTCGAGACTCGGGGGAGCGATCGGGGAATCGTGCGCTGGGCGCGCGCGAATGTGCGGAGCACGCGGGTGCTTGCGGGAGAATTCATGAATACGGGCCAGATACTTGTGTCGAATGAGTGAACGGGTGCAGCGGGTAGAGACGAGAAGCTTGCGTCGGGGCTGGTTGGAGTTGTTTGACGGAAGAGTTGGGTACAAGCTGGATTTTTTTCCGCAGAGCTACTTCAGCATCTTGAACGTCATGATTACCAGGTTGAGCTACCAAAAAAAAACCACCAGTCGTGATGGCGGGGAACCACATCTAAAATGTCAGGCCAAAGCACAAGTGTCACACATCATATACCGTGGAGTTCAGAGCGCGACGGCGCCAAAAGTTCAATTCGCTGTCATAATTCCGATACTGGGGGATAAACCACTTTTGTTTTTGGGCGCCTCGACTCGATTGAAAATCGCGGGGTCGTCACTCAGAAAGCGACGAAAAATATGAGATCCCACGTTTGACAACCAAACAAAAAAATTGAAAGGGCTCGATTTCCGTTTTCATTCAGGTATCGAGGCCTAAGAGTGCCCTAACGCACAGCAGCAGACGAACCGTCATCAATCCGCCTGTGGCCGACGATTCTTGTGTATCATGCAGTTCCTTTTGCCCTTATTGAACACCTAAGCAATGAACCAATCCCCTAAAATTTCCCATTCCGGCCAGCTTTGGTTTTTGACGTGTGACGCAAGAAAGAATGAGACGTTTATTTCTTCTTCTCGGACTGGCTCTGCTCCTTGAGCACCTTCTTGACGATCTTCTGCTCCTCGATCAGGAAAGCGCGGACGATGCGGTCACGAACGCAGTTGCCGCATCTGGAGCCGCCGTAGGCACGCTGGACGGTCTTCTTGGGCTTGGAGATCTGGGCGTACTCGCGGGGGCGGAGGGCGGGGACCTGTGTTTGAGTGGTTAGCATTTTCTGCGTGTGTGAAGCCGTGCTGAAGTTCGACATCGTAAGAGTCCCCTCTGAGAGCGCCGTCGACTTCGTTCCTGCTCATCCTTGATCCGAAGATGATCGCAAGCCTTGGCTGATGACAGCCGCCCTTCCTCCGTGTCCGCCCATAATAGCCCAAGGCGCTCCCAGATGATGGTCCTTCGAGTCTCGTTTCGGCCGTGGTGTTTGGATCGAACTTACGCCGGGCAGCTTGACGCCGCAGTCACCGCACTTGGGGGCAGTGCCGCGCTTCTTGATGTGAAGGATGCGGAGTTCACCACCGGGGGTCTTGACGATACGAGTCCGGTTGGAGGTGGTGTTGTAGCTGCAAATTTTCCCCAGTCAGTCTTGTCGTTTTTTTCTCGACCTGCACGGCGTGCATGCCGATGCGAAAACAAACGCCGTCTCTCGAAAAATTCGATCGCGACATTTCGATTCGGAGTGGGAAGAGACTCACCCGTTACGGCGGCGGTAGGTGACACGGGCTCCGGCCATTTTGACTGATTGATGGTGCTGCGGACGTTAGTTGAGCAGAAGTCGTGAATCGCAAACTGATGGGAATTGTGCGTCGAAATTTGGTTGTGGTTGTGGGCTTTTTCCTGAGGCCCCACCCCGCTTACCTGGCAGCCAATGAAAAACCCACATCACGTGATCACTGTCAATCAATGTCCCTGCACTCTGCGTGTCTGATAGAATGAGTTACAGCGGTGGCTTGAGGATTGTTCACAGTGACTTTTTGACTTATACGGGTTTCATCAAGAGATTGCCTCATCTTTCTGTGCTAGAGTGACTACTTTTCCTGCAGTCTCATACTCTACCTCGCCGTCGTCGTCGTCGTCGTCGTCGTCGTCTTCGCTACTGTTGTCGTCGTTATCATCGTCGTCCTCGTCGTCTTCATCTTTGCTATTGTCGTTATCGTTATCGTCTTCGCTTTCAATGAGAGTAATTAAGTACCTCGGACAAGTGGTAGCACAGGAAACATATGCGGTCTCTAAATCAAATATCGTCCTTTCATGGATTCTAGCACTTGTCCTGAAGGAAACCTTAAGGGAAAGCAAACGCTTTTTTACATTCTCAGAGTCTTTATCCGGGACGTCTGATACCGATCGCTTCGAAGCAACGCCGCATGAACATACGCCTTTTCCCTGCAAACCCCCAACGCCATGTGCAACAGTTCAAATCAAGTCATGCCAACCTATGAGGAGGACTCTGGCTCTAATGTTGTCCAGTCGGGGTGTTCAGTAGCGCGCCAGGGCTTGACGCCGTTGGGCTCTTCCCTTCGTCTCTGAGAGGCATGGTTCATGATCTTGGTCATCTCCTCGCTCTTTCGAAGATCTTGGAAGTCCTGCACCTCCTTTCTGGCTGCCTCTACTGACTTGATGAAACTGGCGAACTTGTCCTTGGCTGGCGGTAAACGTTAGCTGACGAAAATGGAAAATGCTCATGGCCGTGGATGTGCAGCACATACGAGTTGGTTGATGCGCGGACAAAGGGTCCATCATCCGTGGGATCGTGGTGCGCAAACCTCGCAGCTGTGAGAGGGGTCAGTTCGACTGAAGTCGGGCAGGACTGCAGGGGACACCGACCTGGGTGTGCAACAGCTTCAGCTGGTTCAATGACTGCTCTAGGCGTTCTTCATCCCACGCCTCATTGCCAGGCTCGGACTTGATGGCTGGGTTGTTGTTTGCCATGGTGATGCGGGTGAAGACGTCGCCCTTGGAGATGGAAACCCTGAAAGGCCGGTTCGGTAATTGTTTCCCCAAGGGGGAGATTGACGTTGAAACCGGGACGAATAGATATGTCGAGCGCCGCGGACCGAGGTTGCTTTGAGAGCCTGGCCCAGAGGGTGGATGCAGCGATGGATGTAGGTAAAGATGCAGAGTCGGGCACACTGGCAGTCCGACACAGATCCAGGTGTATTGTATGGCGCAAAATTGTTTGCGCGCCGCCTCAAAACCAAAGTGCAAGTGCAAACGTACCACCTTTCATGCAAGTAGCCACTTGGGGTCCAAAGCAGGCACTGCGCCGGCAGGCAAGTCTG